CCCCCCTTCTTTCTCCCTTTTCTGATTTTACCTTAATTTGGATTTCTTTTAAGGGTGGTAGAGGCAGAAGCAAAGTCTCATTTTTTTTCTTCTTGTTTTGAGTTTTTAGTGAAGATTACATTGGAGTTTTTTTACAGTTAATGTTAGTGTGAACTGTGAAGTGCAGGAACACGGAGGAAAGAGTTGAGAAAAATTGTGTTATTTTCATTTTTGGATTCTTAAACATCATATGCTTTTTTCTATTCTTCTTGAATGTAATTAGGTCAACAGAGTCATAGACATGAATAAAAATGAGAACATTTATTTTATCTTCGACATTTTGTCTATTTAATTCGTCATCAGTGTATCTTATTATCAAGTTGTTCAACAAACACCTCTCCCTCACAATTAATTGATTAATTGAAGAACGAAAAGGAAAATAAAGCCGATGGAAAAGGGGGTGGGGGCGGACAACTACCTCTCCCTCACAAATTAATCTAGGGTTCCTCCATGCCTAGTAATAAATGTTTGTAATCTTTTCTAATTGATGTAATTTATGTTTTGGTTGCTAGATTTTGTTTTCCAGTTGCTCTTTTGATACGGACTAAAGTTTTTCGAAATTTTTCTTTAGTTTCTGTTTTTAGTTTTGAGTTGGTGGATGGATTGTTGATGATCTTTTTGAGTTCCCTCCACTGGAATAAGGAAATCAGATCTTTGATTGAAACTTCTCAGTTTATTATAGATGATTTATAATGGGATTGTCTCTTTATCCTTCTCCACTTAAATAATAGGTTGTTGTCTGTGGTAGGGTTTGAACCTATGGTGCGCATTTGATCTACTGAAAATCAAAGTCCTGGAGTCTACGGTGAAGCCATTTTTTCAGCTTCTCAAATCAGGTTATAAGTCTTGAGGTAACTTCATTTGCTAATCTCTAAGTTGGTTTCAGTTGTTAAATGTAAGTTAAGTTGTTAAATTGCTAGAACAACTACATAAATTTATATTGCTTTTACCTTGATATAAAAAATTCTTTATTGTGAATATTATATCTATCCTCCAAGTTTAAATTTATTTATGGATGATAACGAATGTGTTAGAATCTTGGTTTGACTTTTTAAACTGATTTCAAGAACTTAATTGGAGCATTTCTATGAAAAAGTACTTTTCATTCATAGTAACTTGATCTAGAACCATAGTTTTTTCTTGACTTATAAAAAGACGAATAAAAATTAGTTCTTTAAGGTATACATAATTAATTGTAAACTAAGTGAGTTCTTTAAGGTATACTATTCAAGATTAATTGTAAACTAACTTGAAACAAATAAATTGTTCTAAGTCTATTCATTTATTTGTGTGTATTTGTGTACTAGATGGAATGTGAACATCGTAGTTGGATGTACGATAAGAATCATCCTAATCGTTGTGGATTAAAGGAAGAATTTGTTGAAGGTGTTAAAGGATTTATTGCTCATGCAAAAATGCTGAATTTCGTAACGAAGGAATAATTAGGTGTCCTTGTGTGAAATGCAAGTGTAAAAAATTATTGCAACCGGAAAATGTTAAAGTTCATCTTTATAGCAAGGGGTTTAGGGAAAATTATTATGTGTGGATTGTTCATGGAGAGAACTATTGTAGTATTGGTGATGTTCATTTTCAAAATCTAGTTAGTGGTGGGAGAAGTACACAAATGGAGAATAATGTTGAGAATTCTCGATTACATGAAATGGTGTCAGATGCTTTTGGTTTTTACCCAAGGGTTCAATCCCAACAAAATATTGCTGAGCCTTCCAATGATGAGGCAAAGCACTTCTATGAATCATTAGAGTCGGCTAGTCGTCCACTCTATAAAGACTCAATGCACTCTGAGTTATCTGTTGCAGTTAGATTACTAACTATTAAATCAGATTGGAATATTTCTCAAGCGGGCATGAATGCTATAATTGGGCTCATGCGTGAAGTTAATCCGAGCATTAACTTACCCAATGATTACTATAAAGCAAAGAAATTGGTTGTCAAGTTAGGACTTTCCTCAATAAAAATTGATTGTTGTGAAAATGGTTGTATGTTATATTATAAAAATGATGCGGCTCTAGAAGCGTGCAAATTTTGTGTACTATCTCATTTTAAGGAAGTCACAAATGCCAAAGATAAGAAACTTGCAGTTAAGAAGATGCATTACTTACCAATTATACCTAAATTAAAGAGGATGTATGCATCAATGAGTTATGCTCCTCATATGAGATGGCACCATGAAAATAGAAGGCCGCCGGGTATTTTGTGTCATCCTTCGGATGGAGAAGCGTGGAAGCATTTTGATAGGATGTTTCCAGACTTCGCTAATGAACCAAGAAATGTTAGGTTGGGTTTGTGTGCAGATGGATTCACTCCATTTTCTGTCTCTGCTACACCATATTCATGTTGACCAGTCTTTGTTATGCCATATAATCTCCCACCTGAAATATGTATGACAAGTCCATATTTGTTCCTAACTTGCATAGTTCTGGGTCCAAGTAATCCAAAAGGTTTAACTGATGTATATTTGCAGTCGTTGATTGATGATCTAAAATTTTTGTGGCATGAAGGTGTTGAAACATACAACATATCAACTAAACAAAACTTTAGATTGCATGCTGCTTTGATATGGACTATTAATAATTTTCCTGCGTATGGAATGTTGTCTGGGTGGTCGACTACTGGAAAGTTAGCTTGCCCCTACTGTATGGAAGATACAAAAGCATTCACTTTGAGACATGGAGGTAAGAACACATGGTTTGACTGTCACCGGCCATTCTTGCCAATGGATCATGAGTTCAGGAAAAATACTAGTGTGTTTATGAAGAATCAAACAGATTATGATGAGCCACCACTAACCTTGTCAGGTGAGAAAAATTGGGAGAGATCTACCTAAGGTAACAGAGTCTCCATCTGCTAGAATACCTGGTTATGGCGTTGAGCATAATTGGACTAAACAAAGCATATTTTGGGAGTTACCTTATTGGAAGCATAATCTTCTTTGACATAATTTAGATGTCATGCATATTGAAAAGAATTTTTTTGATAACCTATTTAATATTGTTATAGATGACAAGAACAAGACAAAAGATAACTTGAAGGCCAGGATGGATTTACAGGAATACTGCAGGCGAAGAGAATTAGAACTAAAAGAAGGAAATAACATGATGGTGAAGCCTAAGGCTAGTTATACATACACTTTAGATGATAAACGAAAGATCTGTGACTGGGTTAGGAATTTAGAGATGCACGATGGGTATGCGTCAAACTTATCCAGGTGTGTTGACATGAAAGAAGGAAAGTTGATGTATATGAAAAGCCACGATTGTCACATTTTCTTGGAATCATCACTATTGAAACCCATCACAGAGATAAGCTTGTTTTTAAGGACTTGTGTTCCAACACATTAAGGGATGAAAACCTAATTTTCATGGAAAGTAATATTACTTTAATCATAAATAAACTAGGGAAAATTTTTCCATGTGGTTTCTTCAGTGTAATGGAATATCTCCTAATTCACCTTGCACAAGAGACACGACTTGGAGGACCGGTTCAATATAGATGGATGTATCCCTTCGAGAGGTAATGACCATTAACTATTTTCTATTTATGTATTTTGGTAAAAAGAATTATTATCTAAAAGTGTGCTATGCAGGATTATTGGCAAATGTAAACAGACCGTGAAACAAAAGGCCAAGATTGAGGGATCAATATGTGAAGCGTATCTAGTTAGAGAAACCTCTCATTTTTATTCGTATTATTTTGAGAATCATGTTCCATATATGAGAAATAGACCGAATCAGCATGATGAAGGTGATAATGATCCTTTGGAACTTCCTATATCCATATTCAATCAATTGGGTAGAGGTCCGAGAAAAAGTCAAAAAAGAAGTTGGACTGATAAGAAAAAAAAATCGGTTATAACACATGTATTACTGAATTGCCCCGAAGTTCAATAATTTTACAAGTAAGTTTGGAATTATATTATTAACCTAGTCTATTCTTCTTTTAACTAATAAACATTGTAAAATGCCTGACAATTACTTTGTGAGTCAGTCCGGCCATGCTAATGTTTATCTTAGATTTTCAGAGTGGTTTAGAGACTATATAAGTGTTAATTAATATGTAACAAATTTTTTATTATTTACACACTATATGATTTTCTAACTTCTCGATTTTCTTCAACTCTATATAGGTTCATAATCCAAAAAATGGTATATGTGATCCTTTTTTGCGTGATATAGCTTGGGGACCTACCCCACAAGTCAAAACCATGTCTATGTATTTTGTCAATGGATACAAGTTTCATACGGAAGAATGGTCTAAGAATAAAAAAATTATTAATAGCAGGGTATGGGTGAAAGGTGGTGATGGTGACCAAGGTGGGGATATTAATTATTATGGTGTGCTCCAGGAGATTTTAGAAATAAAGTATGTTGGTTGCCCAAATAAAAGGTTGGTACTTTTTCGATGCAAGTGGTTTGATCCCACACCAAATAGAGGTACAAAAGTACACCCACAATACAAAATAGTAGAAGTTAAGCACGCGAAGGAGTACGAACGCTATGATCCATTTGTTATAGCACAAAATGTGAAGCAAGTATATTACGCTCCTTATCCGTCGACGTATAAAAATAAGAATGAATGGTGGGTAGTTATTAAAACTAAGCCAGTTGGAAGAGTGGAAGTTGAGTATTCACTAGTTGTAGCGTACCAAAATGATATATCAAGTGTTCAACAAATTGTGGATAATGAATTAGAATATGAGCTGCATAGTGAAGGCATATACGAAGAAGTTGATCTGTCAGTTGACCAAATTTATGGAATTGGGACATCTATGGCCAATGCGGAGGAAGATTCAGGTGATGAAAATTAATTCATTGAGGAGGAAGAATTTTCTGATGAAAATGACACAAGCGAGGAGGATGAAATTGATGAAGAAAATATAGCAAGAGATGACGATGGAATGGATGATGAAATGAAACAAGCGATGATGATAATTGACATGTTTGTTTTTTCTAACTTATGTAGTAATTATGCTTTTAAATTTGTAGCTAAGAGAATTAATATGCTATTTTTTCTTATGCTTGTATTATTCAGATGGCTGCTGGAGGTAAATCAAAGAAGAAGAAACAAGTTTCACGTAACTTAGGCCGTCTCCCTACCTCTCTACCATCGGCACATTCTGGTCTGCATGTGCCTCCACCTATATGTCTGTCTTCAGTTCCACCTCCCTTATACTCTATACCACACCTAGGGTATACTGCTATGTCCTCGACCCCTTACTATTATCATATGTCTTTCCAAGACATAAATGGGACGTTTTCATCTAGATCTGCTTGCCCATCTATGCCTACACCTAGACCTGCCATACCCCCATCATCTACTCCAGTCATTCATCCCATGGCATTTAATCATTATCGTCTCCCGTTATTCCTTCATCATCTTCCCCTGTCATACCCCTTCATTCTACCCCTAGCATGCCCACATCTTCTAGTCGGCCTCCAAAGCATTCTGAATCTATACATGCTCAGGATCCTCCAAATATTGGAGTAGATAGCCCTCCGACGTCCCCATGCGTCGATAGTAATTCAGTTACACAGCCTCCTATACATGCTCAGGATCCTCCAAATGTTGGAAGGTTAGATGATCTCGGGAGGTTGATTATTGTTCCCGATAAAGTTGGGTAAGTATTATTTATTTATTTTCTAATTAATTATAAATATGGTTTCTAACATGTTTAATTTAATGCAGGTTTCTTCCTTGTACTCAAGCTACAAAAGCTATGGTTGAATCAATGTGTTCATTTTAGCATGGACCTTGGAGGTTCTGGTCAGATGTTCCATGGAACATTAGGGATAAGATGTTTGATGAATTAGGGTAAAATAAATTATTTCATTTTTCAACTCATATTTAACCAATCTAACAAATTAATTATTTGCATATGAAGTGTGCTTGGACAGTTGAACGTGAGGTAGAGGTATGAGGCGTCTTTTTAAAAAAATGTGTTGATAGGTTGACTGATATGTTTCGAGAAGCTCGAAATAAGAAAGAGATGCCAGGTTGGATTATTTAGGATATATGGACTAAACTAACTGAGTATTGGGCCTCTGGGGAATTTAAAAAGAAAGTGAATTGGCAAAGGCAACCCGTTTGTCCAACAAAGGTGGCTCCATGCACACAAGAGGTTCAATAAGTATTGGGGCTCATCGAAGAAGATTGGTATGTGTTTATTATACTAGTCTAGTCCTATACATTCTCACACTCTCTTGTAGTAAATAGTTTTTCAAGAAAAATACAATTTACTTTGATGGGTTGGGTTTGTTCTACTTAAATCTGCCAAAGTTTTGATCTTTTCAATATTTGGTTCATCCAACCTATCTAATTATTTGCATTGCCAAGACTAGATTAAACTTTTGGGTGTTGTTCTTCTTGGAATGGATTTATCTAATTTGAGGGAGTCAAGTTTGTCAATATTTTTCAATGAAAACTTTTAGACTTCTAAAAACTTTTGTGCTTCTGTCTTAATTTTACCTTTTGAACTGCATTTTGGCTGTGTAGATTTCGTTTTAATATTGTGTTAGATGTGGTTTGCCACTTTAAGGTCAAATGAAAATGTTCTTCTTGAAATATATACTAATAATTAAGCAAGACTAAAACAGTTACTGTAACTTGATTGTGATGCCTTAGTAAATGATACCCTTTTGTAGCTATGCTACTATCAGGAATAGGTGAAACTTCAAGACTTATCATTAACTCCACACTTCCCCATTAGTACGATTTCATGTAATTTATGCTATTTTCCTAGAGCATGAAGCACTCAGGTTATCAATAAAAGTACAAGAGGGGGTGAATTGTATAATTTTAAACTTAATCTCTATTAGTTGTCTGATTTGTCAATTAGTTGACTAGATGCAATAACCTAACAGTTATAATAGCAGAACGTAAAACACAAAAAGTAAGTGCAGGAATTAAAGACACCGGAATTTTATTCTGGTTCAGATTCAATGTGAATCTTAGTCCAGTCCCCTTGGGTTGCAAGGGAGTTCTCTTTAGTAAATGCGTTTCTGCCAGTACAATGGAAATGACGTGATGGCTCAGTTCCTATAACACTCATCTCTTTTGATACAATGCCTCACCAGTTTTGTACTCTCCTTTTTTCTCTGACTTGTTACACAATAGATCTTAGAGAACTACAATGTTTGTTTGCAGTAGAACAAAGAGAGGATTTTTGGTTCGATCAAAGTATATTTGTCTAAGGCTATATGTTGAGTATAAATACTTTGGTGAAGATCGTTTGCTGACGAGACTTGACAACCCAAGAGATTTGATCCTTGGAAATATATTGATTCTTTCCAAGAATAAGGTTGCTTGCCGTTGCTCTTCCTTGATGAGAGGAAATTGACAACTTTTCTTCTACAATTGTTAATGATGAGAGTTTACTCCTTGATTGTTGGTCCTCCCAAAATTAGCCGCTCATCTACTCTTCTCACAGAATCTTCGATCTTCCTGCTGGCCTTGATTAATGCCTTAAGTTTAGGCTTGCTTGATTCTTTCCATCACAAATGTCTGTATTCTTTGCTGACTGATTCGTAATCTACTCCTGATTGATTTCTTTCCTTAAGCATCCAGATTTTCTGGTTGATTTCTTTCCTTAAGCATCCAGATTGACTTCAGCAATCTTATAGTAGCTCCTTGATTCCTTGTTCTTCTGTAATTGATTTCCTGCACAGATATATTATTTTCATCATTAAAATTAGATCTGACAATCTCCCGCTTTTTGATGATGACAAAATAATATATATGTATAAATACCAGTTGACTTCTCTGTGTTTTACTCCCCCTCAATGTATGCAGTTGATTAGTTCATGGTACTCCCCCTCAATTCATGCAGTTGACTAGTCCATGGTTGGAGTCGACTCTTGCCATAAAGGATGCTGCTTTTGCCATAGTCAACTATACCTGTACAGATACAACATATACTTTTCTCACCCTTTTTGGCATCAGTAAAGAGGGAACAAACCAAGAACTAAACAGAATATATAACATTAAACAGTAGAGTTATAGTCCAAAAGAAGCAGGGGAAAATAGAAATTATCCAATGATTGAGATAATAACCCAAAAACAGCATAATAAAAAAATTGTCTTAAGCAACCACATTAACGACACAGAAAATAAGTAAGAGTGTTGCAGATGGCCTTCTTCAATTGTTCAAAGCTAGCATTAGCTGAGATGCTCACTCCATCCAACCTATCATGAATTTCTCTGAAGGCTTTAATAGCATTCTCCCTAACTCTAAGAACAACAACTCTAATCTTTGACACATCAGACCTAGTTTCCTTGGAGATGGCATGAATGTCACCAACAGTAGAATGAGTGGCTGTGAGGAGATTTTTGATTTCAGAGAGTTGAGTGTCAATTGCACGAAACTTTTCACCAAGATCAGGATCATCAGGGCTGGAATGAGAGACAAAGGGTTTAGGTTTGGTCTCTATAGGAGCATACTTTGTTTCACCTTCGTGCTTCTTAACCCAAGAGCCCTTCACACTCACATATCCCATACTAGCAAAGGCTCAAGAGTTGTAAGACTTTGAAACAGTGATGAAGGGATAGTTGGACAGGGAAATTTGATGAGCTTCCAGAATGTGAGTGATTGTCATGCCATATGGTAGACTAGTGGGATCTTCAGCACTCTCAATTATGAAATTAATGACCCATGAGATAACTTGATTTTGAGTTTGGTCACAAGGAATTATACTAAAAAAGTGTCTCTTTGAGAGAAGGTTGAAAAGGAACCAGTACGGGGAAGCAGATTAGTGCTACAACATGGGCCAAAACTCGAGTTTCGAAACTAAGATCATTGGGACCTAACTGGTTGGGAAGGAAGTTAGAGGTACACTCAGTAATACACTATTTGGCTTGGTCAAAAGAAATTTCAAAATCATTGGGCCAGGTGTTTTTGAAAAGCATAGGAAAACCAGAACATCGACACTGAAAGAGCGAATCAAACAGGGCACAATCAAGAACAATGCGCTTATCTAACACTAAGGATTCTAACCTGTTACGTTTACTAGAACAGAGATTAGCATAAAACATCTTTACCAGGGGTTCATAGAACTTAAGCGGAGGAATAGAGAGGAACTTAGCCCACCCTTGATGAACAAAGAGGTTTTTTGACCTTGCAATTTAGGGCTTCCATGTCGTCAAGGTCGACTACCCTTCCTTGAGCAACGGGCTTGTCCTTCAGAGTAATGAAGAAATCCCTATTTAGAGAATCCCAGAAATTTAGGTCAGATTCTAGGGAGCGAGAAAGATCAATCTTGGATTTCTTTGGGGTAGAAGAAACAGGGGGTCTTCCATAGGTCGTTTTTAGGGCTTTTTCTCCTAAGTGTTGAGAGTGATCAGAGAAATCTCCCTGAGAAGAGGTGAAACCCTCAGAGTTATCGGACCCTAGGTCTACTTGTTCTGGGGGCATAGAAGGGGGTTTTGCTTTGGAGAGGGTACTTTTTCTGGGGGAAGCAGAGGGGTTTCTGGGTTGTTTGGTCATTGAAGGAAAGTGGTTTGATCGTAGCTTTGGAGAAGCGTTTTCTAGATGATAGAGATGAAAGTGACTGAAAGGGTTCTCTGCCTTAAAAAGAGAGACTTCTGACGGTTGAGTACAGAAAAGGAAAAGGCGTTAGTTGAAGGGACGCGATGATTGGCTTTCCAACTTTAAATGACAAACTGATATGAAAGAAGAAAGAAAGAGAGGGAAAAACGGAGGCGTAATTAATGCATGAGTAAGGACAATAATTACACATGTAAAAGTATTTGCAGTACACATAGGTCCTATAGGTTATTAGTTAAGCAAGTAATGCCAAGTAATTTTCTTAAAGCACAAAATCTATCCTCTAATAATGGCTTAGTAAAAATATTTGCTAACTGATCAGTAGTTCCAACAAAAGATATTTCTATGTCTCCCTTAAGAACATGATCTCTAATAAAGTGATGCTTGATATCTATATGTTTTGCTCTAGAATGATGCACAAGATTTTTTGAAAGACAAATAACACTTGAATTATCACAAAAAATTTGTATAGGTTTAAAAGAAAGTTCATAGTCACCCTGGGACATTCATAGTAATTGTGTGCAGTATTATCCAATGGCAATGTATTCAGCTTCAGTAGTAGATAATACAACTGATGCTTTTTTTTTACTATTCCAGGATATCAATGCCTTTCCAAGTAATTGACATGTACCGCTTGTGCTTTTTCTATCTTTCTTATCACCTGCAAGGTCAGCATCTGAAAAACCTTCTAATTTCAAAGAGTTAGAGCCAGGATACCATAGTCCATGAGATACAGTCCCAATGAGATATCAAATGATTCTCTTTACTGCAGTCAGATAAGATTCCTTAGGAGGTGAATGAAACCTAGCATATTTACACATACTAAACATAATATCCGGTCGACTTACCATCAGATACAGTAATGATCCAATCATTGCACGATATTTAGTTTTATCAATAGGGATTCGCTATTCATCTTTGTCTTGATTTATGGAAGGACTCATTGGTGTGCCAATGGATTTTGCATTTCTCATGCCAAATTTTTGAATAAGTTCCTTTGTGTATTTGGTCCGACATATAAAGGTTCCTTCTTCAGATTGTTGAATTTGGAGTCCAAGGAAGAATTTTAGCTTTTCCATCATGCTCATTTCGAATTCGCTTTGCATAAAATTTGAAAATTCCTTGCACATAAGATGGTTAGCACTATCAAATATATTATCATCAACATAAATCTGAATAATGAGATTACCTTCTGATGATCTTTTAATAAACAAGATAGTGTCTATTTTACCTCTTGTGAATCTATGATCAACAAGAAAAGAACTAAGTCTATCATACCAAGCATGTGGAGCATGCTTTAGTCTATATAGTTCCTTAGTGAGCTTGCATGGTAGGGAAACTTTGAATCTACAAACCTAGGCGGTTGTTTCACGTATACTTCTTTCTCAACAAATTCGTTCAAAAAGGCACTTTTGACATCCATATGAAACAACCTAAATCCTTTAAATGATGCGTATGCCAGAAGAATTCGTATGGATTCCAAGCGAGCTACTAGAGCGAAGGTTTCATCATAGTCGACTCCTTCCTATTGTGAGTATCCCTGAGCAACTAGTCTGAAGACCCACTTTGTTACGACCTTTCCATCCTCGTTCAATTTGTTTCTAAAGACCCACTTTGTTATGATTATAGAAATATTTTCAGGTTTGGGTATCAGATTCCACACCTGATTTTTACCGAACTGATCTAATTCTTCCTGCATTGCTTGAACATAACTTGAATCTTTTAGAGCTTCCTTTATTTTCTTTGGTTCAACCTGAGAGATTAATGCAACATTTGCTTTCTTTTTGAGAGCTCCTCTGGTTTTCATTCCTTTATTTGGATCCCCTATGATAAACTTTTGAGGATATTCAGGCTCGCTTCTCCATTCATTTAGACGCACTGCATTAGTAGTCGACTCGATTGGAGGATCTGGTACACTGCTGCTGATTTCATTAATTGACTCTATCGTAGCAGATATATCAGTCGACTCTTGAGATTTGCTTGTCTCCTAAATTTCTTGAGCTTGATCTTCATCACCTTCAGTAATTCCTTTATCAACCAAGGGATTACTTTCATCGAATATAGCATGTACATATTCTTCCACACATAATGTGCATTTATTATAGACTCTAAAAGATCTACTATTTTATGAGTAGCCCAGAAAAATACCTTCATCACTTCTTGGATCGAATTTTCCAAGGTTATCCTTACCGTTATTGTGAATAAAACATTTACTTTCGAAGGGATGAAAATAATTGATATTGGGACGTTTACCTCTATAATTCATAGGGAGTCTTCTTCAGAATGGGCCTTATGCGACATCGGTTGAGAATGTGACATGTTGTACTTACACCTTCTGCCCAAAAATGATTTGGCAATGAATGATCTAGTAACATGGTTCTTGCCATATCTTGGAGGGTTCTGTTCTTTCTTTCTACAACCCCATTCTGTTGTGGTGATCGTGGTGTAGAGAAATTATGAGTGTATCCCTGATCATGACAGAAATCTTCAAATGCTCTACTTTCAAATTCTCCTCCATGATCACTCTGAATTGTTGAGATGAGATATCCCCTTTCTCTTTCAACCTTTTTGCAGAATAACTTCAAAATTTCTTAATGATTAATCCTTATGAGATAAGAAAATTACCCAAGTGAAACATGGATAATCATCAACAATAACAAAAGCAAACATCTTTCCTCCTATACTAGCAGTTTTGCTAGGCCCAGATAAATCCATATGAAGTAATTGCAAAGGTTTAGAAGTGGATACAATATCTTTATTTTTGAAAGAGTTTCTGGTCTGCGTACCAATTTGACATGCATCACAGATATGAGTTCTACAGAAATTCAGTTTGGGTAGGCCACCAACTAACTCATGTTTAGACAATTTTTTTATCAAATCCATGCTAGAATGACCAAGTTTTCTATGCTATAACCATGGATCATCAGACATAGACGTTAAGCAAATATGACCATCTATTTTTTCAAAACCATCAAGGATGTAAACATTTCCATATCTTTTTCCAGGAAGGACTATTTTACCTGATTTGTCTTCAATAGCATAACTTGTTTTCTTAAAATTTACCTCATATCCTGAGTCGCATAGTTGACTTATGCTTAGGAGGTTGTAGTTCCATCGACGAGATAAACTTCAGTGATGTCACAGTTGTTATTGAAGGGAATTGTTCCAGTACCAATCATTTTACATTTTGAGTCATCCCAAACTTAACGCTTCCTCCATCAATTTTTGTAACTTCAAACAGGTTTTTGTCACCTGTCATATGACTGGAACACGCACTGTATAAATACCATCTTTCTTTACGGCTTATTCTGTGGTATTCCTGCAAAACAAAGTGATTACTTTCTTTTAGGTACCCAAGCTTGCTTGGGTCTTGGAGGGTTAGTATTGCTAGATTCAGAATTGTTTTTTGGTTTCCAAACCCATCTTGAAACATTTGCTTACGAAAGCGACAAAAAGAATATTTGTGCCCATTTTTGTTATAGTAGTTACACATAACTTCTGACCCACCTTTAGGTTTTTTATTAGTGTTAGTACTAGTGGACTTAGTTCTGGCTGGTCCATTTTTAGTTGACTTGTAAGTCATCTGGTTTGACCTGACAAAACTGTGACTGGTGGATTTGCACATGCCATTAAGTTGCATTTGCAATTCCTTAAACTCTTCTTGAAGTACTTCCTTTTCAATTTCACATACTTCATGTTTGAGTTTCCACTCTTTAATCTCTTTGGTTAGTCTCTTAAGCTGATTTATCATTTTTTGAGACTCTTTCAAAGTTAAATCAAGAATATCCTGCAATTCATTGCATCTTCCACAGTTATAAGATCTTACCTCACTTGTTTCACCTCGTGCCATGAAACAGTTTTCATTTTCTTCATCTGAAGTGTCCTCATCTGTCCAGCATCCTGATGATTTGTCCATTTCATTTTCCAGAATTGTCATGAAGCAAAGATTTGCTATCTCTTCGTGGTCTGAACTGTCCTCATCACTCCAGCTTCCAAAAGATTTGTTCTTGTTAAAGCCTCTAGAAATTTTTCTTTTTAGTTTTGGGCACTCAACTTGAATGTGGCCAAATCTTCCACACTTATAGCATTTTCTATCATTCTTGTCTTGTTCATTGTATTGCTTGGATCGTCTTGGTGGAATTCTTCCTTTTTTTTGTATTTCTGAATCTTCTCATTAAGCCATCCATGTTTCTCGATAACATAGCAATCTCTTCTTGTAAAGCTTCAGGATCATCATCAATTTCGTTTTCAGCTATTTTAGTTGAAGCCTTGAATGCAACTATTTCTTTTTTTCTTCTTGACTAGTCTTCTTGAGATGCGTCTTTTCAAAGGCTATGAGTTCTCCTCGTAGTTCATCATATGATAATTTGTTTAGATCCTGAGATTCCAGTGTGACTACTTTGGTCTGCAAAGTAGTTGGCAGGCTTCTGAGAATTTTTCTAACTTGATCACCACTAGTATATGGCTTGCCAAATGCCTTTATATCGTTAATTATTTTGCTGAACCTGGCAAACGTCTCTTCATTAAATTCTCCTTCTTTCATTGAGAAGAGTTCGTAATCATGAACCAACATGTTAATATGTGTTTCCTTTACTTTGCTGGTTCCTTCGTATGTAACCTCAAGCTTGTCCCACATTTCTTTGACTGTTTTACAGCTAGAGATTTTCTCATATTCTTCACCACTTATAGCATTGTGAAGCAGATTTCTCGCTTTATTGTTAACTTGTACCACTTCCACTTGCTCTTTTGTATGTGAATCTATATCTTCAGGATCAACAAGTGGTGGAGTAGCAGCTGGTAGGGGATAGTTCCCCTTTTTGATGACTCTCCAAACTTTGGCGTCATAAGCCTTGGCAAAGATCTCCACACGCACTTTCCAATGAGAAAAATATTATCCATTGAAGTATGGTGGTCTAACTTGTGAAGTTCCTTCCAGAAAGAGAGCTCATATGATAACTTGATTTGCCATGATCTTTTCTCACAAGCTGTTAAGCAAAAAGTAGAATGTGAGCCTTGCTCAGATATCAATTGAAAGTACAAGAGGGGGGTGAATTGTTTTTTTTAAACTTAATCTCTATTAGTTGACTAATTTGTCAATTAGTCGACTAGATGCAATAACCTAACAGTTATAATAGCAGAATGTAAAACACAGAAAGTAAGTGCAGGAATTAAAGACATCGGAATTCTATACTGGTTCGGATTCAATGTGAATCCTAGTCCAGTCCCCTTAGGTTGCAAGGGAGTTCTCTTTAGTAAATGCGTCTCTCCGAGTACAATGGAAATGACGTGATAGATCAGTTCCTATAACACTCGTCTCTTTTTGATACATTGCCTCACCAGTGTTGCACTCTCCTTTTTTTCTGACTTGTTATACAACAGATCTTAGAGAACTACAATGTTTGTTTTGCAGTAGAACAAAGAGAGAATTTTTGGTTTGATCAAAGTATGTTTGTCTAAGGTTAAATGTTGAGTATAAATACTTTGGTGAAGATCGTTTGCTGACGAGACTTGACAATCCAAGAGATTTGATCCTTGGAAAGAGATTGATTCTTTCCAAGAACAAGGTTGCTTGCTGTTGCTCTTCCTTGATGAGAGGAAATTGACAGCTTTTCTTCTACAGTTGTTAATAATGAGGGTTTACTCCTTGATTGTTGGTCATTCCGAAATTAGCTGCTGAGCTACTCTTCTCACAGAATTTTCGATCTTCCTAGTGGCCTTGATTAATGCCTTAAGTTTAGGCTTGCTTGATTCTTTCCATCGCAGTTGTCTGTAATCTTTGGTGACTGATTCGTAATCTCTGTTGATTGATTTCTTTCCTTAAGCATCCAGATTTGCTGATTGATTCATAATCTTTGCTGATTGATTTCTTTCCTTAAGCATTCAGATTGACTTCAACAATCTTGTAGTAGCTCCTTGATTCCTTGTTCTTCTGTAATTGATTTCCTGCACAGATATATTATTTGCATCATTAAAATTAGATCTAACAATTAAGCACTTTAAATTGTTGTTGTTATTGTAACTAATTACACGGTTAACTAATCTTTTTGAAGTTTCATGGACATAGTGATATTGCTTAATATCTATGTCTGATGATTGGTGCTTCTTTAATTTTTCCTGCATATATACAAAGTGTTGGTTCAAACTGTACAAATGTTTATCAGATTACATGTTCTACGGAAAAATATAGCCTAAAAGATCACTACCAAGCTGTTATGTTATGGGCTAAGAACATTGAATATCTTTTATAGGAAAATACTATTAAGAGGATTATAATAGATTTAAGGTTGTCCTTCTTGCCTTGGATGCATGTGTACATAATATCCTAACTTTGGGAAAATATATAAAGCAAAACCTATTTTTTGATATTCGAATACGTTTGCAGCTGCATTGGAATGAAATATTGATTCAATAGTAACCTCCCTGGATGCCACATACCCCTGCAAAGTTTATGCATGTCCTAGTGTTTTCGATGCAATGAGAGGCATTTGAGGAACGTATTTATGTATAGAATCACAGTAAGAGCTTAAGGTAACAGATTTTCAGAAGCTTTTCTTCTTTTACTAGTTTGAAAATAGGCCTCTCAATCTTCTAGCATCCAGTTTCTAGATTTTGTTCCATAGTTAAAGTTTCTATGTTATATCTGCTCATTCAACCAAACTCCTAACTTGAGATAACCAATGTAGGTCATTGATATAGTTTCTTTTCTGTTAATTTTGTAGAACTTGCATCCTCTCCTTCTCTTGTCATTAAAATGTCAACAAATAAATGTAGATATTTATAGTGAAAGATATATTCCAGAAGCAATTGTGGGTTTCTAGGTTTGTATATGTGAGCTTAAAGGAAAGGGGCATCTACTTGTGATGTAATTCGAGGATAGGACTAGAGGAGAATAAATAGAAGAGTTAACTGTGTTTGTTGGAATTTGCGTAATATTAACCTTTTAAAGAGACTTGTATTTTCTCATAAACAATTTACCTTATTTGTGGGTCGTGAGGATGGCGAATTGAGCCTGTATTGTGGTGAATGCCTTTGATATCATAACAAGGTACAGATTAATCTAACTTTACAAGTTAGGTACATCTGCTTATAATCTAACATACTTCAAAAGAAGTGTTACACAAAAAACAAAAAAGTTTTACACAAAAAATAATATCTTTACATTATTCTACTTGTACAATGATGGAGAAAATGGTACTATATATATTTTCCAATGGAAAACATTTTCCTCCATAACAAACGGTTCAAAATTTGTTTTCCTTTGGTCATCTTGCTGATTTCTTGAAATTATTTTTCTGAATGAAAATTTGATGATCTTCTGTCATGTTTCAACATGGATTTTCTCATGTTCTGTGCGCTTTTCCAATTAGAATTCCTTATTTAACCCATTATCTACTGTGTATACTTGAAGTCATTAGCATGTAGGCTGAGACGATTTGTTATGTGTGATGTGTTATCCACCTGTGTGCAACTTGGCTCAATCTTGTAGAGGTGTTTATTGTGTGTATTTTGACCAATCAGAGGTTGTAAAATTGGAAAGTTGGGAGTTGCGGGGCCTGATTTAAAATCCAATGCAAGTATAGGTGTATTTTGATGCATTTCAACTGCTACACTAGTTGATTGATCGATTTTAACCACCAGATGACTTCTGTGCATGTTGTCTTAAGATATAACTTGCAGTCCGTCTTTAACTCTAAAGGAGTGATTCCTGTTTTTCTATTCTAAAAGAGTTAAATTGTAGCGGAGTTGAGTTGGATTTTGAAATTTACTGTCTTGTCTTCAATGATTTATTTAGTGCTTTATCTCTTGATGTTATCTGACTATTCTCTATTTTCAGTCCCAATATTAGAAAGAAATATTAAGGCACAGTTCATGTTTCAGCTTTATCATTAATTGATGTTTTTCTTGAAGTTGGAAAATCTAATTTGGACTAGAGCATGAAACACTCAGGTTGTCAAGCACTTGAAACTGTTGTTGTTGTTGTTGTAACTAATTACACGGTTAACTAATCTTTTTGAAGTTTCATGGGCATAGCACTTTAGTTTTGCTTTTTTCATGTTTAATTTAACCGGAAAAGTCTTTAAAAAGACCAGCTACTCAAGATGAGGTATTTGAGCATACGCATATGAAGAAGCTAAAGGATGGAATAAAGACAACTTGGATCGAGGCACGAGCCGAGACAACCTATGTAAGATTTCAAGTTAATTTTTAATACTTTTCATTAATTAAATATATTCATATAATAGTTGTAACTTTTTTGCAGAATACTTTCAAACAATCCTTGGAGGAGTTCATTCAAAGCCAACCAATTGATGATCAAGGAAAGACAATCCAACCATCCCAGGAGAATTATATAGACTTGTGGATTAAGGCGGCTGGTGGCGTACATAAGGGAAGAGTTTACGACATTGGATCAGAGTTTAGTTCTAGTTGTCGGTCTTTTGGATCTGGTGGCTCTTCTTCCTCAAGGTCCCCGATTAATCAGAATGAGTTTGAGCTATTGAATAGAAGAATAGCAGAGATCACTGAGTTGTATGCACAGAAAAGGGCTGCGCGGGAGGAGGAGGCAAAGCGAAGGGAGGAAGAAGATAGGCGGAGGGAGGAAGAAATGAGGCGAAAGGATGTTGCATTTACACGTGTCACTGGTGACGTTGAAAGCCTCAAGGCCCAGCTAAACTACCTCTTAGCATCTGGTGCATTTCATGTGCCACGTTCTCCATCACACTTTAACAAGACTAAGGAGTAGTTTCTTTTATTAATATGATTTTGGGTAGGACTATGATGTTGGATGTTATGTATCAATTCGATAAGATTGAATGCCGAATTTCTTATTTGAATGTTAAGTTGCATTATTGGTTTCTAGTATTTTCAGTTTTGGTTGGTTGTTAATTAACGAAATGGATCGAAAAATACTGATTTTTGTGTGTGAATATTTAATTGTATTTAGGTTGTTGGTGGTTGTATTTTTTTGTTTGGCAGGTGGTGCAATATATTTACAGCATTGTGCACAAAAATAATTTCCAAATTTCCCACGGAATTGCCACTGATTCCGTGTGAAAGTTCGTCACTTTAGTTGCAGAACTTGCATATTTCCCACTGATATCGGTGGAAAAGTTCATACATTTTTTCATAATTTGCATTTATCCCATTGATATCGGTGGGAAAGTTCACACTTTTATTTTCAGAATTAACACATTTCACACGGATATCGGTGGAAATGTTCATACTTTATTTTTTAGAACTTGCATATATCCCACGGTTATCAGTGAGAAAGTTCATACTTTATTTCCAGCTCCCCGTGCATTTTTCCCATCACTTCCCTGGCTAATGTATTAAAATTAATAAAAATTACTAATACTATTTCCCACCGATTGTTGGTGGGAAATTTCATTATTTTTCCTATTGAAGTTTCTCTAGGAAAATCGTAGAAAATTTTCCACCACTTCTGTGGGAAGATATTTTCCATCAAGCGTTTTCCTGATGACTCGTTTCGATGGGAATACGGTGTGAAAACTCAATTTTTCCATCAGTATTCCACTGATTTCGCCGTGGGAAATTCATGTGTTTCTAGTAGTATATAGCCCTAGGAAGAACTAATTAGTTGTATAAATAGAAGCAGATCTTGACTTTTTACTAATTTGTGTTACCGAGAGCGAAAATTGATTAACCATTCAAACTTATAACATGTAATTTTATATGATTTTTCAATTTGCCAATCGACCTCGTTTACCAGTCCTGCTTTTGGCATAAAATAACAAATGATAGGAGGCAATTTTTGAACTGAAACAAATTAAATTTAAAAAATATTACGAATAATGACGAGTGATGATAATTATTAAGCGGCTAAACGGTGCCTTGATTTCTACTAGTAGACAAAAGTAAAGTTAAATTAACCTAAATAATTGTCCACTCAATCATTAACTAAAGATAGTCAGTATATATAAAATATATATATACGTATAATTTCATGTATAATAAATGTATACCGACTAGAAAAAAGTAAATAGTGAATTCAGCTGACTATTTGTGTACAGATCCCAATATTGTTAAGCACTAATCAAATTGAAGAACTTTCTTCATCTTGTCCTATAATTGCTTAAACCCAAGCACTTCCTAAGCTTGCTTATAACAGCTTAATAGGGGGTTAGACACTTAAATTGGTCTTTCCAACATACTATATGCATACTCCACTATGCTATTTCGAGGCGTATTAACTCCTTTTTTTAAAGAAGAAATATTTTCTAGTTTAAAATTTTCCTTCACTTTAAAGTTCAGCAATTTATTTGCGCAATGCTCTTCTCACCTTGTTTTGTTTATTAACTGCTCTAACTACTAATTTAATGACGAGATCTAGTTGATTCTAAGTCTGAATTTAAAATCTTATTCGGATACCTCAATTGAATTGAGAGAATTTAATATTACATATCCATCAGTTGGTTAGTCAACAAGATGAGAAATTGACAGCTCGGGAGGTCTATATATTTGCCTGTAATAAGATTAAATTAAAGAGTGTAACTTATTTATTATTGATGGCATGGCTAGTAGCAGATCCAGCGGCATGGCCAGTGACGTACCTAGTAATGAAATGGCCAGAATGGGCATTGCAGCTGGGAGTTTTGAATTGAAGTTATATATAACGGAGGTAGAGCCGTCAATATGGGCTGGCCCAACTTATATATAGCGAAGGTAGAGCTGTCAATATGGGCTTGGCCCGTTGGGCCAGTCCAACCCAACCCGTAATTTGGTAGGGCTGAGTTAGAATTTTTGTAGCCCATTTATAAACGAGGCTTTTAAGCCCGACCTGAGTAAGCCCGTGGCCCGTAAGGCTTGATTGAGGTGGACTGGCCCGTGGGCCTAATAAAAATATGTATTTAAATTATATAAAATATATGACACAAAAAATATCAAGAAGAGTATCCCAAGCTTAAAGTTTATTAAGTTCATCATATTAAAAGATCAAAGTCTTAAAACATTAATTAGTTTTAAAAATTTAATTATTTTTAATACTTAACTAATTAATATTGCATCGAATTGTAGATGTAGATGAAAGTGAAGATGTTAAGACAACCTTCTCACAAGCGGATTCAAATGTGTTTGATGAAGATGATGTGTTGGATATCCCATAAGCGTCATGGACGTTCTCTAGAATAGTTTATTTTAAGTTTTGACTTTTAGTGAATGAAATATAGTCTTGTCTTTTACTTTTTTAGTGTTTATTGTGATATATTGGATCAGTATAAGTATAAAGTTTTGTGAAATTTTTCCAATAAGTTTTTTTTAAAGTTAGAAATTAAATATAAAATTATATTTTAAAAAATGATGAGTCGGCCCGTGGGGCCCGCAACCCAGATAGGGCTAGGGTGGATTGATCATTATAAGGCCCATCAAAATTGCGGGCTAGTCTAGCCCAGCCCGTCTATTGTTAAAGTCCATCTATAAATACTAAAAGATTGTAAAGCAATGAAAATACCCCGAAAGAATTGGGGCTCACCAAATAGCTGGTACGAGAATCCAAGCGCCATGAATCGTCAATCTGTAAATCATTACCTACATTGTGAGATGCAGGCCTCGAGCAAAAGAGATGTCAGTACATTTGAATTGCACTGGTATGTAAAGCAACTAAAAGAAAGAAATATAAATGTTAAAACTGACACGTAACTGATAATTAATAATTGATAAATGAAATGATAACTGTTGAAACAGAAACTGAAATGGTAACTGATAATTGATAACTGAAATGATACTGGTAACTGAACTGAACAAAGGAAGTAAGGATATGAATATTCCCTCTTCTAAATGATGAATAACCTGTTTATCTAAATAAACTATAGCCTCGGGCCCAATATATATGTGCACAAGCTACGACCTCAGGCCCAAGTATACATATACATAACTACGGCCTCAGGCCCAAAAATGCATAAATCATAAACTAAGGCCTCAAGCCCAAACATGCATAAAACATAAACTATGGCCTCAGGCCCAAATATGCATAAAGCATATAAACTACTGCTTCAGGCCCAAATACAGGTGTTCAACATTCAGGGATTTAAATTCAGGAGCTAAGAATCATATTGCAATATGTGATGCTAAAATACTGAATCATATTGAGTTACATGATACTGCAATACTAAATAGGACTAGACTGAGACATGTATTCTTGAACTGATTATGATATACTGAGAAATCTAGAGTGAGACTCATGGGCATCAAACCCAAGTCTAATTGATTACACACTAAGCTTATAACGTTCAGAATCAAAGTCGTGAACGAGTTATGAATCTATAGAATAGAAGTTGTGCAACTATTCAAGGAACTAGGCTTAACTATATTTTTAAAGCAATTAGTAACGTCGTAAAAGAAATGTTGTGTAGGGAGAATCATAAACATTCTCAAACTTAGAGAGTTAGTCTCACATACCTTAAATTCCTGCTCTTGAGTATAATACAACATTCGTCAACCCTCTCAACTTTAATCTATAACAATACAAGTCAAAGGGATTCCATATTAGCAATATATAATACTCATGTTTTGGCCACTTAAGTATTTTGTCAAATACTTGATGGGATAAAGCTTTATAGCCCTCATTAATGGTGTTACTACACCCAACAAACTCATTCTCTTGCTCCTAGATAAATTCTAAAATCTCAAATTTCTTATAATCAAAATCATTCTTCTTCATCTATAAGATAAACAACACCCTTAACCAATAATCAATAATCAACAACTCATACATATAATGGTTCATGCTTTTCAATCAATCCCATCAACTCATATCTCATGAATTTAGATTCTATAATCATTAATCAAATGCTATAATCATTTAGAGGGTGAAGATATTATCTTTTGACGTTCAATCCTCTTGAATTCGAGTTCTAGGGTTTCATCTCTCAAAACTGATGTCCCAATCAAATATCTAATGATTTGAAGGGTTACACATATTAATAAGTGTTGGGGAATTGAAATTAACTTGGAATTATCATTAGAACTTACCTTGGATAATGGAGGGACCTTTGAGGAGTTAGGTTCTTGAGAGCTTCCCTTTCTAGAGCAAGTTTTCGCATTTTGGGGTATGGGGGACGAAGTAAGGCTTTAAAAATGGCTTCCTGAGTGTTCCCCCACGCAACTGAAGGCCCAACCGTGCACCTGAACGTACAACAGGGCAGTAGCACTGCCACAAGTGTGCGGCCGTGCACGGGACCATCTAGGCGCGCACTTGGGTGCGCATACTGCACATTGTCCAGTAAAACATACATAACTATTTGCTGAGAATTCTGATTGGGTTCTACAATATATAGTTGGAAAGATATTTCAAAGAGCTACAATTCTCATGTTTTACGTTTTCCCAAATGCTCAACTGATTTTTACGAAATTCTAATATAAGAAAGACCTTCCATAAACTTAGTTGATTTTATCAAATCTTATGCACCACACTCTCTGTCGATTTTTGGAGTGTTACATTACCTCTCCCTTGGGATCATTCGTCCTCGAATGATTGTCCTGATTGTAACTTCGCTAACTTTGGACATTAAATGGGTCTGGTGGAAACATGAACTTTTATGAACACTTGCATACTAAACTAAATGAATACATGATTACTGAACTGATGAGATACTGAACTGAATGACTACTGAGATAACTGAATATTGAAGGATATGGACATTATAATATAAGGTCTGAGTATAAAGGTTAGTTACTGATAGCATCCTAGGAAGCTCAACTCTATTCAAGGACAGGGATGAAGCTTTTGAATCTCAAAGATGATCTTTAATAAGATGCCAAGCTAAAGAATTACAAAACAAGATCATTAGACTTCAAGTGCAAATGAAGAAGTTATTAATTGGGAGGAAGAGCTCAAGGATAAAGGATGTGAATTGGCTAGGTGATAGAAT